TAAGTGGAAGCACTGGTGGGGACATAGAGACATGGAAAATCCATTTCTTCACAGACTGACATGTGCATTCTATTCCACTCTGTTCATTGAAGGGACTAAATTTTGCACAACAGCATCTGGATGCATTTCCACAAATACACATTCCTTATATTGCATGAATCTTTCCCCCACATAGTAGGCAAACCCCCCCAAAGCTGTATATTTTCACACTTTAGCCTATGGGAGAAAAGTATGTTTTTGGTTGTTGTTGTTGTTGTTTTTTGCAAATCAATGTGATATTTTTCTATGACTAATTTTGAATAAAATCAGGGCTTTTTTTTGTCATCGAACACACTGGAACAGCGTTCCGGCACCTTTTTTTCCAATGGATTTTACAAAGTGATTTTGAATTGCCTGTCGGCGTAGCAGGTCAGCAGCAAACACCATTAACATAGTGCCTGCAGGCTGCTTTTGGGTCCACGCCGCTCGGCTTGGGATGCTGCTCAGCTTGGGATTGCTGTGTGTGTGTGTTCACGCGCCAGCGGTGACGTGAGTTCCGGCACCATTTTTTTTTATTTATTTTTTACAAAAAAAGCACTGAATAAAACAATGGAAACTTTAAAAAATAGTCTGTAATCCACAGAATCTGTGTGAGTCAGGAAATGCCATTCTGCTGTAATTTATCTAAATCTGTTTCAGATTCCTCCAACATCCCTTAGCTCTGGATTCAAAAGGAATTTAAAGTAGTATGTAATTCGGGCACCCAAGGATGGTTTGTTTTGTAAGATGTGCGTGTGTATGTGTGCAGGAAGCAGGCACATACTTACTGTGCCATGAACCTTATTGATACCCCACCACCCCCTGACCTCATACAATCAGACTCTTGCTTGTATGAGTTAACAAGCAGATGTGTGAGGGATCTATGCATCCAGATGTTTGAAGGCACCACCCACGGAGATGATCTTCTGTACAAGTCATGCTGAAATGAACAGGAACCCAGATAGAGCACAAGAGGAGCTCCCACGCAATTGAGCAGGGCCTGTATATGGGAAGAACTTAAGTTCTTCCAGGATTTACAGTAGGCTCAAATGAATGTGGCATTCTCAGTTTGTTTCAGTGCTACCTTAGCAGAAGATATTATTTTCAAAGCATTTCAAAATCTGTAAGAGTATATATGTGTGAATTATTACAAAGCAACATCATTATGTTCAATCACATTTGCCTTTTTACAGAACATTTCCAAAGACCAAAACATAGCTTTAAATAACAAAACACATGTTGCAGCATACTGAAGAATTACCAGAGAAAATATTATTAATACATACTATACGGTAAGACCCCTTCAGGGATCACTGCCTTACTGCAGCAAAGGAGCTTGCGTAGCTCAATGAAGCTATGAGCTCTGCCGTGCAGGGTCACCCAAGACGGACAGGTCATAGCAGAGAGCTCTGACAAAACATGATCCCCTGGAGAAGGAAATGGCAGCCCACTCCAGTATCCTTGCCATGAAAACCCCATGGACAGCACCAAAAGGCAAAAAGATATGATGCCGGAAGATGAGCCCCTCAGGTCGGAAGGTGTCCAATATGCTACTGGGGAAGAGCGGAGGGCTAGTACTAGTAGCGCCAGAAAGAATGAAGCGACTGGGTCAAAGCCAAAAGGGCACTCAGTTGCAGATGCATCTGGTGATAAAAGGAAAGTCCGATGCTGTAAAGAATAATACTGCATAGGAACCTGGAATGAGGTGGCTAGATGGAGTCACCGGGGCAGTGAGTGTGTACTTGGGTGGACTCCGAGGGATGATGGAGGACAGGAGAGCCTGGAGGAATGTTCTCCATGGGGTTGTGATGGCCCGGGCAACTAAACAACATATGGTTAGACCACAGTGCTATTGGACTGGGGCCATTAGATGGCAGCCTCCCAGGGCCAAATCTTTTGAAAAGTTCACCTCCTGCCAGGTTGGAACGTGGGAGAAGGAAGGAGGCTGCTTCACCTCCAATTCCTCATCTTCCTTTACAAACATGGCCTGCTGAGCCCACGGCTTAGCAGTATCTAAGAGAGCAGGTGAGGAAAGGCCCCCATACCCCACAAATCTCAACCTTTCTTCTCCCACAGGCAGATCCACGCCCACTGGAACAGCAGCGTCTGGCATCTGCGAGGTCCCCGAGAGAACCTCGAAAAGCGATTCTTTTTAGTGACAGCTTTTAGGAGGCAGGGAAGGTAGCCAGTGCCTGCTCTCCTCTCCTGGGTCGTGGAGCACTGGGCAGAGGCTCCCAAAGCATTTTATGCTCTTATGGTGTCCGGGACCCTCTTGGAGGGATAATTAAATTGTTCTGCTAGTACGGTCGAGGGCCAGAGTGTGGCAGCGGTTAAGAGCAGAGGGCTGGGTGAGCTGGGCTCTAGCCTCTGCTCAGCCACAGAGCTCACGGGATGGCCTTGGGCCCGTCGCAGGCGCTCAGCCTGACCTGCCTCGCAGGGTTGTTGCTGTGAGGATACAATGGAGAGGAGCGGGAACTAGGTCAGCCAAGCCAAGTTCCTTAGAAGGAACATGTTGGGATATGCATATAAAAATACATACATACACACACGCACTAGTACACTAAGACAATCACACTGGGGAAAGTTGCTATCAGAGGACGGACAGGAAGCGCAGGCATGAGATGGTTCCCTTTTCGGTGCCCTAAAGGAGCCGCGACCTTAAGGTTGACAGGAGCTGAGCAGGGCTGTCAAGGGTGGAGGATCACCATAAGTTGGAGACGACTTCACAGCACGGAGCTGCAACAAATATCAGTTTAGCTAACCAGCGAAAAATATAGTTCAGCTGACCGGACTACACACACCATCTCCAGGTATTCAACCTCCATAATAGTCTCCTGTTGTGTTTCGCATCTGGGCAGCCAAAGAAAACTCCACTAAGTTAATCAAGTTTAAAGAGCAAAACTGCACATGCTCAGAAAAGCTTTTTGAGATAATTTCAGGAATATTGATGCGATTGTAAAGTATTAAATGTGTGTGCACGTGTTTGCACAGGAAGCGAAGATAACCCTTCCCCGCTTCTTACAATATGCTGCTGTTACGGATAGAACAATCACCAACCATTCTGGAGACCAAACTGACTTGTAGCGTCAGACTGAAAGAATTTGGTGGGTGTCACATGCCAAGGGAAAGTGAATGGAAAGCAGCCATGTGGAAGGGAAGTTGGTCTGAGGTGCCACATGCATGTGCTAACGGCAGATGGTTCACAAATACAGGGCAAGTGACCGCCTACAGCAATCGGGGACTAGGGGAGTGAAGATACGGACCATCTCTCCTTGTGGTCAGGACATTGCCAGGCACAAAATTTCATTTCTTAAAGACATTTGGAATTGAATTGCAAACAGCAGAAAGGAGTTATGCACAAGATATTCTTGCTTCAAAAAAGATCAAAAGGATGCATTAACTCCTCTGCTGGGGACCTGCTAGGCAGTTAGCGTCAAACCACATTCTGCAGCATTCCAAGCAATTCTGTTACAATGAATGTAAAATGGCTATCCCCATGTGGTGGCTGCGATTTTATGGAGATACTCTTTGCAGGGTTTGAACACAGGGCATCTGAGGCAGCCAAACACATAAAACGCACAACACTGTTAAAATAAAATGAGGACTTCAGATGTAAAATGCTTTCCATTTTAGAGCCGAAGATACTCCATTCACTTGAACATCCAGAAAGCCTTAAAAATAGTTTTATTGCTACGTTGCAAACATACCATTTCAAATGAATCCCCACCTCTCTCTCTCTCTCTCTCTCTCTCTCTCTCTCTCTCTCTCTCTCTCTCTCTCTCTCTCTCACACACACACACACACACACACACACACACACACACAAATTCTGAACCTATAAATAACAAAACAGTCTGTTAAATCACCAACAGCATTTATGGCTTAATATTATTTGCTTTCCAAACAGATACACATTGTTATGAAGTCTCCAAAAACATGTGTATAGAGTATATACACATATTTTTGGAAATGTTATAACTGTAGACTTGTGTATGAATGTATCTATACAATGGTCCCAAAGTTATTCATTAAAATAGAACCCAAGTTTTCCAATGCCATCCCCTGTTCTATTAACCTCTTCCAGTTCTTTATTATAATTATTGGCAACTCAACATTTTTAGGGACATTCAGGTTTGTTTACACACGCACGCACACACACGCACGCACGCAGGCAGGCAGGGAGGGAGGGAGGGAGACATGAGAAACCAGCCAGTAGGCAGACTCAGGTAGGCAGACTTTACCCACTGGCTAAAATGAGGACAGGAATTAGAACTGGGACTCGCATTTCCCCATAATACAAAGTCAATCTGCAAGCACTGCGTTCGTGCTGCATAATGTTGCCCTGCTTTTTGTGAATAAGAACAGGCTACCAATTTTTTTTTTATTTTTTGCTCACACACATTTTGGTTGCTGGTCAGGAATAGCCACCTGGTTACCAAACTGAGCTGTGGAAAACACTGCAGCTGGCACTCTTAAGACATGTTATTAAAGATCAGGAGGTCAGCAAGCAGTAAAACATCCTCAATAAATTCCTTGCCACAACTGGTAAAAAACGAATAAAAAGCCCTTGCGTACACATATTAGCACCCATGTTTTACAAATAGCAACCAGAGCTATGGGCAACTGGTATATCAAGCCAAAGTGTTATGCAGCATAGTTATTCTGAGGACCAGAACAGAGGGAAAAAAACAATAGCCCATTTATACTGAACATCACAACCTAAAACAAGCCCATTTATATGGAACTTTATTTATTTATTTATTTGATTTATATCTCACTTTTTCATACAATGCACTCAAAGTGGCATACATAATTCTCCTGCTCCAGCTCTCAATCTTATCCGCACAAAAGCCCTGCCAGGTACATTGGGTAGAAAATCTGTAACGGGCTCAAAGGCACCCAGCCAGCCGAGCAGGAACCAGAACCCAGATCCCCTGCATCTCAGTCCCTTGCTCTTAACCACTAGACCACACTGGGTCTCCAAAACAGTACACTTCACAAATGTGCATGTCATCCTTGCGCAGGGGCCACGCTACTCTTCTCTGCATCATTCCAATTTTAGTATATGTGCTACCAACATGAGCACAAAGACTAGTCTTATGTATCGGAGTGTGTCACAACATTAAGTTAACAACATCCAGATTTCAACCAGGGCTGACCTTGCTTAGCTTCCAAGATTTGGCACTATCAAGCACTTTAGGCTACACAGGAGCTTGACATGACAACATGACAACCTAAAACTTGTGAAGAACACAGTTCTAATGTTACATCATGCTCTGATGTCAGTTGTTGGTTTGAATTGTTAGCTTCTCTGAAAGTACCTTTAGAATTCAATAAAATATCTGTCAGCAGAGAAATAAGGACATGAAGCAAGATTTAACACAGTAGATGGGAAATACTGCAATACAAGGCAACACCGTCAAAGCTGGATTGATAGACTGAAAGGACAGATGGAGTGTTAGGGGATGATACTAATTGCAAGGAGTAAGTCTTTTAACTGTTCTGGAGTAATAAAGAAATTATATATAAACTTTTCAAATATAACAATTACTTGTCTCTCCAAATCTAATCCAGAAGAGGCCATGCTCCAGATATCAAAGTCTAGAGAATACTTTATTGAAACCATACTGTGTTTCTTCAAGGCTAGCTTATTATTTATATTCATAAGCTCTAGTTTACTTGCTCCATGTCAGTTTGCTTCATAAATTCTCAATACACATCTTGACTTGAACTCCCATTAGCTCCCTAGTAGCACAGGAAATGGTTGGGAATGCTGGCAGTCGTAGTCCTAAGCATCCAGAGGGCGCAAAGTTAGGGAAGGCATGCTTAGTTCAATCTGACTAATATGTCAGAGAAACTTCTTGAAATCTGAAGCATCATACACACGAACTATCCGCAAGTCGGGGGAACGGAGCCCTTGCTGGCCCGACCTCCAGAACACTCAAGTGGAGAGCCACCTCCTGCATGGGGCTTGGCCACTGCATGCTGGTAAACATGGCTCTGCAGCAGTCTGCTGCTGAATTTTCATCACAAACCTCCACCACCATTATCATCACCATGTATCACCAAGGTCCCTCAAAATTCTTTACCTCAGCAGGCATCAGCTTCCAGATCTTGGGAGCAGACCCCACAAAGTTCCCCATCAGTGCGCGACAGAAATAATCAGCAACTAGATACAGAACTACAAAACCCCTGACTAAATATATTTAATCCAGAGCTTTCCCTAGAAACAAAAATGACAAAACGGAGGCTCTTCTATTTTGCACACATCATGAGAAGGCAGGACGCACCGGAGAAGACGGTCATGCTCGAGAAAGTTGAAGGCAGAAGAAGAAAAGGAAGGCCAGCCATGAGGTGGATGGGCCCCGTAAAGGAAGCCACAGCCTTGACTTCCCAAGCAGAGCTGTTAAGCACTGGGCATTTTGGAGGGCTCCCATTCACAGGGTTGCCATAGGTTGGACAGCACACAAGAACAAGACAATCATGGGAACCTCACAAAGCAATCATAGTACAAAAAGATACTGTGTGACAGGACAGCTGTGGCAAATCTGCTGATCAGGGTATGGCAAGACATGGTACCCGGCCAGCCCAAGAACCCGCCTTAGTTCCATATCTTGTTCTATCGTTGCAGCCAAACACTTACCAAGTTTTCTTTCTGGTATCGGTCTGGAACTAGCTGTTCACTCAAAGTAAGTTCAAATAGGCACAGATGCAGCAAAGACTATCCCCTCCCCTGCAAGTATCTTTCCAACAGTTACCCTGTTATCTGCCTCTCAAGGGTGTAGTTACTACAAGGCGCCGGCCAGTGTTTCTCCCCAGAAGACAAAGGTTCCCATGGTCCCCACCTCTCAAGGTGATGCAAAAGCCAGGAAGGGGCAAGGGCTACACTTGCACGTACCTTTTGCTTGACCCCTCCCCCCCCCCCCCCTGTTTGAGAGTGCCCACCCCCTCTGCTCAGTAATTCTCCCCTGGAAAATGCTTCCTGCCTCTGCAATGGTACTGCAAATGGAGAGCAGGGAATGCATAGTGCTCACACAAGTGGCAGCTCTCTCTAAATAAGATCTCCATGAGTAGAGAAATTATATTTCTTGACTTAAATTTCTGAAGTCATTCCCTGTGCCTCCTGGCAATGGATGCTGCCCATTTAGCTTAAATCTGTGCCAAGCGTCAGAGACAACTGCTTCTTTTTGTACCCTTCAGAATCTTTATATGTACTTCAGCACTCCTGCTATGCATCATCGTGAAATCCCAGCATCCCCGAAGTATTTTCTTGTGTCAAATACAGTTTCCTTTTGAAATAAATTCATTATTCAGCATGCCAGCTTATAAGATCCAATCAAAATGGGCTTATCGCTGTAAGTTACAACTGTAGATCTAACAGAGCTGGAAAGGTAATATACCAACCCAGGGCAGGTGAACATATAGGCAAATATCTTCCATTGACAGGATGCTACCTGTATTTTTTTTCCCAGTGCAATTTCTACAGAAAGGATCAAGTGATGCTAGATAGGGAAGGAAGGCTGGCAGCCACACAACACAGCTTCCGCAAAAACAGGTCCTGCCAGACAAACCTGTGGAATTCTATGACAAGGTTTCGAGGTGGCTAGATGGAGGGGATGCAGTGGATGTGGTATACCTGGATTTCAGCAAGGCCTTTGACAAAGTGCCCCATGATATCCTGGTGTAGCAACTGAGGAGTTTTGGGATACACCAAAGCACTGCCCGGTGGATTAGGGCATGGTTGACAGACGGAAAGCAGAAGGTAACCATGAGTGGGGAATCATCAGGATGGCGACCAGTGACAAGCGGGGTCCCCCAGGGCTCTGTCCTGGGGCCGATCCTGTTTAATCTTTTCATTAACGACATGGAAGAAGGGGTGA